CGGGGTACCCCGTTAACGACGACAGGCCGGACCGGTCGTCCGTCCCCCTTTACCGAGTCCTTACCCCACCCCGTCGGGTCGGTACGTACTCGGGCCCGGGGGAGCGGAGAGATCGCAGGGGGCGTTACCGGTGACCGTGGGCAGACGCCGGCCACTCCTGGGGGGATAATGTCCACGCTCAGGCCCCGCCCCGAAGCGCCAAGCGTGCACTCAGGAACGAGGGCTCTGGAGAGTGTTCCAGGGAGATGCAGGGAGTCAGCAAAACGCGCATTAAAAAAGCATCTTCCTCTAAAATAAGCTGGTCCCTCACTCTCAAAGGGTGGAGGAAATTTGTGTGGGTGAGCACACTGACTAAAAGAATAAAGGGGCAGGTAAAGAGACATTTAAAAAAATCATGTTTAGAGAACTGTTTTTTCCCCCCTATAAATTGATGATTTTCATAAAGCATTAAAATTGTGGTGCAGTTTAAGACAAAAAATTATATAGAGTTGAACTAATTAAATAAAACAAAATTATCAATATTACAGAAATGTCTCTGGTTTGAGTGTAAGTAGACAACTGGCCAGCTGAATTCAACTAATTTGATCAAAAGGAATAAGCAGTCTAAAAATGAAAGTAAAAAACCTCTTCTTGAAACACATCTGTTACCTCCAAATTTTGACCTGAGTGTTTCAGGTAGTTTCCTTAATTTTCTACTTGCCTGTGTCAGTGTGGAAAAATTTAAAGGTCCAGAGAGAAATGTCTTTGATCAACACTAAAAGGAGAAAGATATTTGATAATTGAGTTTTATTCATTTATCAACTTCAGAAAAATGAGAAACATGTCCTCAGAGTGCACCATGCATGTGAGCATTGGGACAGGATTGTGCCTACACTAGGTGTGCCATACACTCAAGGAGTCTCGTTCATTTTCCAACTTCTTTCTGTACTACTATTCAGTGTACATATTGATGACTTTTTTTTCACTTAAAATGATTAACTATGGCTTATACTCCTTTTTGTTTTCTTCTTTACACATCAATTTGTAAATTTTATATTGCAATATTTAGTCCCTATGTTACTAAGGATGTCCATAGGCCTTTTTTTCCTAATCAGATAGTATGTGCTCAGAAAATGTAAACTTCTTTTGAACTGAAATACATTAACAATTAGAATCACATTATAAACTCACATGTCTACATAAACAAACAAACAAACAACAAACCTTTCAAACTGGCAACTTCCCTTTTCTACTAGAGATTTAAGAATAATAAGATCTTAGTTTTAAAAACAGACACACATCAGCTAGAGTCCTGCATCTGAAATTTGCTGCTTCTGTGACTTGGAAAAATTACCTAACTTCCCTCAGCCTCCGTTTCATTATCTATAAATTAGGGATAATAATGGTGGTGATTTCATGGTGGTGTTGCTTGGATGATTCTCCTTCTTCAAAACTGAGCTGAATCTTTGTTAGAGGAATTACAATTTTTTAACTTGTTTAACATCTTTCTTTGTTTTCAGTAACTGTGTATTGAGAATCTGGAAGACGCCAAGTGCCTTGCCAGACTCTCAAGATAACAGTCATCAATCAATGACTCTTGCTCCTCTGTAAATCACAGTTAAGCGAAATGAAAGATGAGAGTAAATTAGAGGAAAAAACCTTATATATATAGATACATATTTATATATAAATATATATAATGATACTAGGTTGGAATTTTAAACATATCAGGTAATTTACCACAAATGCCGTCGGTCAGTAAGAACCTGTAGTTTAGGGGTAGAGTGCGTGCTCAGCATGCACAAGGTCCTGGGTTCAGTCCTCAGTGCCTCCATTAAAAATAAATAAATAAATCGAATTAAACCTTCCCCAAAATAGGAAAATATTTTTTAAAAATAAGAACCTGCAGTTTAGACCCCTTATAAAGTCTGTGCTTGTCATTATGTAAAGACCCGAACCAACACAGTGAATATAATTTTCTCTCAAAGAGTCAAGGTCTATCCAAACACATCAGTGTTTGAAACAATAAACAGATTCTTCACACTTTAATATAATAAAACCCCTTAAACTGCTGTCAGATTGTTCTGGGCTTTAATGTTGCACGACAGTACTTTCTATTCTAGATCTGAGCTCACAGAGCGCAACATTTGTGTACTATGCTCAGCGTTAGCTAATAATTCCATGTATATGCGTGTGATTAGTAAATACTAATTGATGGTAACAATTATAATTTGATATTTTGAATACGGTTTTCCTAAAATAGTTTTATGCCATAAAGGGAATTGTTCTTGAACAATAGATGGTATTAGCTTGTATATAATTTAGGATCTAAATAAAAATAAAATTCATTATGGAGACTGATGGCGATTCTCTCAGTAGTTGTCTGTTAAAACAGTTGCTGGTTTTGGAGGAGATCAAAAGAATTTACATAAAGATGGCATTTAAACAATGCTGGAAACTGAAAAATATTTTGATTGTGTATTCTGTAAAACTGTAATAAACAAGAGGAAATGACAAACATTTCCAACTGAGAGGCTCCCATTTGATGTCTACTGGAATTCTTTAATAAGAATATTTAATAGTCCATTCCCACCAACAAGAATGGACTTCAAATAAACCACATTTTGAAACAA